TGAATTTGAGAGTGAATTTCTGTGGTTCCCGGTAGCTTAGTCGGTAAGAGTGCCCGGCGCGTATCTGGGAGACCCGGGTTCGATTCCCGGCTGGGTGAAGCGGAAATTTTTTGTGAATTTGAGAGTGAATTTCTAGAATTCTTTAATGCCTAAAGGAGGTTAGGCGGTGTTTGAGGTGAATTTGAGAGTGAATTTCTGTGGTTCCCGGTAGCTTAGTCGGTAAGAGTGCCCGGCGCGTATCTGGGAGACCCGGGTTCGATTCCCGGCTGGGTGAAGCGGAAATTTTTTCTCTCTAAATTCTAATTCTCTTAGAATTCTTTAATGCCTAAAGGAGGTTAGGCGGTGTTTGAGGTGAATTTGAGAGTGAATTTCTGTGGTTCCCGGTAGCTTAGTCGGTAAGAGTGCCCGGCGCGTATCTGGGAGACCCGGGTTCGATTCCCGGCTGGGTGAAGCGGAAATTTTTTCTCTCTAAATTCTAANACCCTTAAGGTGGAAATAGGCCGAAATAGTATCGCAGAATTATAGAAATGTTGAAAGATGAGGAATTTGTTCTAATTCATACCCATTAGTTTGTTACTTTCTGTTAATTATAAGAAATTACTGCCAATGCAATGTATGGTACAGCTCAGATTGGAGAATGCCGCGAAACCCTTCTCATTTCGCCTCTTCCGAAAGCCATTTTATTGCATACAAATACAATCCACATTACATAAAAGCCAACTTAAACAATTGTCAACGACATAATAATTCTAATCTCTCACACAACACCCTCCTGCATCGTCTTTCATAATAGAAAACGGCACTGGGGGGTCATGGTCACAACGCCCGCTCCGCGAATCCGTAAAAGGCATTCGCATTTCTGCTGCTTCCACCTCTTTTCTTATAAAAAACGTCCTCATCCATTCCCGGTTGCACTCGTTATCGCCGACCGGTCACCGCATTTTCCTTCCTGCAGTCAACCTAAAAAGGAAAAGAAGTCAGTCCAACGATGGTAGTTACCGCGATGTCTGAAGAAGGTGTACAGATCCAAAAAGGATTATTCGAGTGGTGGAGTGAAGAGAGTGAGTATCTCCTCCAGAGGATAGAGCGATGGGCAGCCCTGGCACGTGGTTACAATCGCCTCAGGTCCCACAAGTTCTCGAGGGGTCGACTGACCTTCGGAGAAGTGTTGGATGACGACGAGGATCGATACATCCCCGCGGAATTTGAGTCGCTGAGACGCTCCGAGAGGATGAAGACTAGATCTCCGGACGAATCGAGGCGAATCAACTGTTGCGGGACCTTTAATTACCAGTCCAACAGTAAATTGGATAGTACGTGCTTGGAGACTTATCGGTACGACCACAGTATCTACTTCAAGACCATTGGAGACATCAGGAGAAGCAAGAGTCGAGAAAATGTCGGGTGTAAACAAGATGGCGATCGGTGCTCGGATGACGAGAAGGTCGAGTGGGACGTGCGAGTGGTGAATAATTCAGTGGCCTCGAGGGGTTTCGCCACCGACCGACAGATGGTGGTGATGCCCAACGGCCAAGTTCGTTGGGACTATCTGGACCAACATTCTTCGGAGGATGGGGACAATAATAAGAACGTCTGGCCCGTTGTTGATCTCAGCAAGTTAGAGACGGGGGAAAATTGTCTCGACGTTAACCGAAAGGTTATCGATTACGAAGACGATCGCGAGGATCAGAGGAACAATAATGCCCCGACCTCCGTAAGTAGAAGCAAATCGTCAGTGGAATTGAAACCTCAGCAGACCATGACGAGGATTCTGAATTTTAGGACGAAACGATCGCCGAAGGTTGTCCAACGACCGATGGTCTGTGGGGAGGGTAATGTCTCCTGGCCCGGGGTCCTCCTCACTTATACGTCGAGCTATGTTGATCCTGCAGTTGCGTCTTCACATAATCGAGTTGTAAAAGTTAAATAATTCGTCGTTATCCTCAAGTGGTAAATTTTAGATGTATCATTTCAGTCATTAATTATCGAAATATCTCGAAAGGGGGTGGGTGGAGGAGAACACACTGTAGAACCTTTTTTGTAGATGACAAATTTTACTACAAAAAAGGCCTGTGATGTTTTTTCCTAGCACCATCCCTTACTGAGATAATCGCACGTCATCGTTCAAATCTACTTTTATATTTCAATTAATTAACTAATAATTCGTTTATTGATATACTCTGGATCGATCCTCATTATGAATCCATACCTGACGTCAGATAATCACAATTATCTAATAGCAATGTATTCCACTTTGTGAAAACCATTATAAAACTGATAAATTCTCATTTTGACTCGTTAATTATTGAAAAGATCTCCCAATTACTTTGAAACCGTCGATTATTCCGAGAACGAATGGTTTTAGAAGAAAACATTACGAAAACTTTTTGTAGCTGACAAAATTTCCCACAAAAAATTTCTTTTGACGTTTTCCTCTACAGCCATTTTTTACGGAGATAATAGCGGTCTAGGCTTTGAATACACAAATGTCAAAGCGACCTCACAATGGGTTTGAAAACTTCATTCATTGCATCATCACCTCCAAATTGATGAATTTGAAAAAAATTGTTGGCAGCCTCTCGAGGACGTCGTCTTATTCTGTAATACGATGCTCATTAGATTAATCTTGTATTGTCCATCACTCCGGCCTGGAGCAACGCATGCGCCAGTTTCCAGGGCCACGCAGGCAACACTAGCTTTTGTGCGCGAAATCGATTATTCGCGGGTATACCGTAGTGTTCAGTCGTAGTGGAACCTTCCTGGAGGGTTTTGAATCAGCAAAACGCATTATCAATTGTAAAATATCATCATGGGAAAGAGATTTGAGACGATAGCCGCCATGGCCTGCATGACGACTCTGCTGATGCTGTTTAATTTCGTATTTTGGGTGAGTCCATCCAATCAATCAAGGATTGCCCTCGTGTGCTTCCGCGGTGTTATGAATTCTCTGATTATGATAATCAAGTTATCAATATGGCTTCCAGTGCAGTGGAATGATAATGCTAGTTGCGGGGATATGGCTGCGGATGCAGCTGCGCGATTACGTTGATATGAGTGTTGAAGGCAGTGGAACTGCTCTTCTGGGGTTGGCATGTCTCGGGGCATTCGTTGCCTTCATCGCGACCCTCGCCTGTTGCTGCACAGCAAAAGGACATCCAGCGTTGTTATACGTGGTGAGGGATATTGATTTGTTTGTTGCGTCATCGGGGGGTTTGTTTACTCGACTCGTTTGCTTGAAGGGAAGGTAGTCCCTTGGGGCAAATTAGTCGGGTCGTGGCGAGAATTTAATGATGATTGGGGTGAACATCTGGGTCAATTGTCTGGTCAAACTTGAAAGTGAATGAAAAATCTCGAAAACTAGTGGATTTAGGAGAACACATTATAAGACCTTTTTCGAAGAGCAGAATATTTCCCATCGAAAGTATTTTATGGTATTTTTTCATAGACCCACTCGTTACCGAGATAATTGGATGATTAGCGTAGACAGGCCGTCTACGATTTGATAGAAATAGATGTCTTATTTTTTTTTTTTTATTTAAGCGCGAAACCTACAGATTTATACAGCTGTTATAGATGTCTTAGGATAATTAATTGAAAATCAGTCGTTTTCGAGGCGAATTTTTCGGTCATGACGTCACGAAGACGGTCAGGTAACGCTTCATTGGTCGACAAAGAAGAGAGTGGGGAGTTGTCCTCCATTCGCCGAGGCGCACCTCAAGACTTGGTTAGGTCGGTTCGAGCCATTCCATGATTGGTCCAGCGCTCGACTGTCTGTATGACTTCATTCGCGATTTCAAAGCGTTTGAAATCTTCAACTTTCAACAATTAATTATTAATTAATGAGCAATATTTCAAACGTTTGTGAATGAAAAGTGAATTATTCAGGTCCCAACCTTGAGATTAGAAAATTGAAAAAAATTCATGCAAGTTCCTTATTTTGAATCGAATGCGATAGCTTTGTTAATTTTTGTATTGTTTTGTATTTACCACAAAACCAATAAGTTTATACAGCTTTTCATACAAAAAAAAAAAACAAAACAAAAAAAAATTTCTTTCGTTTACAATAGTTCAACATTCTAGATCTCACAAACTATCGAGTTTAGAAGAAAACATTATATGACCTTTTTAAAAGAGCGGAAAATTTCCCATCGAAAATATTTTCTAGCATTTTCCCGTAAACCCACTCATTACCGAGATTATTGGGTAATCACTAAGCCATAATATCCTCCTTAGTATGGAGCCTTCTTAGCAGTGATAGCTCTCTTGGAATTGGCAGCAGGAGCTTCCATCTACACATATCGTACCTGCCTAACAGACGGCTTCGACCAGGGATTGAACCAGAGTCTCGCTCGTTATGGCACTGATGCTAATACGCAAACTCGCGTTGACGCCATGCAAACGGCGGTGAGTAATGCGGAATCCAAAGGTCTTTGGAAATGTTTATTTTTCTCATCATGTTATTTTCCACCGCGAGCAGCTCCATTGCTGCGGTAACCGAGGTTCCAACGATTGGGTGGACCTGAAGCCACCGAAGGACATTCCCAAGTCCTGTTGCAAGATCAATGAAGATCTTTGCGACCCCACTCTCTCCAGTGATATTTACACCGAGGTACAGACTCCAAAATATCCAATTACAAGCCAATTTTTAGTCACTGATTATCTCCGTAACGATTGGCTTCAAGAGAAATCATCGTAAGACCTTTTCTGTGAGAAATTTCTCCCTCTCCATAAAAGATCTTCTGATATTTTCTCGTACAGTCACTCATTATCGAGATAATCATCTGTTAATTATGACCCAAAACTAACGTGACTCGCTAATATGATTAAAATAATCCCAGGGCTGTTACAATCGTGTGATTGACTTCATCAACTCCAATATCGGTCTAGTGGCGGGAGGTGCCGTCGGTGTCGCCTTTTTCCCGCTAGTTGGCGTTTTCCTCGCTTGCTGTCTCGCGAGTAATATCAACAAAGCGAAGTATGAACAGGTGGCATAGAGAGGCCGGAGTGGGGGTTACTGATTAACATTTATCCAACATTGAGAAGATAAAATGCAAGGGGGCGATGGGAATTGAAGGACTTCTGGACTCTCAATATCAATGTCTATTATTACGTCCTCATACTCACAACGTCAATATTGATTGAAATTTAATACTCCAATTTAAATGTCTTCATGACTTTGCAACGACGATTTTTCTTTACCTATTGTGATTTTTATCGTTTTGAAAATTTATTCTTCCTGTCTTTTTGGACCTCTTCCATGTTTACGCGGGGCAATTATCCCTGAATACAACGCGCAACGCGTTTTTTTAAATATTCGGAGCAATTCCATTTGTTCAGAATTCAGTGAGACGTGAAGAATCTTTTCATTGACTGGGAATGCCTCGATTGAACGAAAGGATTCTGTTATATTGATATAATTATATTCTTGTTGAATAAAATTTGTCTTGATAAATTATTAATATATTCTATAGATATTATATTTATGGTTATGGATAATTAGCTTTTACTATCTCGGTGTATATTATCTAAATATATATTATATAATAAAAGAAATTTAACTGTGAATTATTTGGTATGGTTTTAATTAGATATTTTAATCGTGAGAGACATCAAGCTCGAGGAAATATTTCAGTGATACATCCACGCACCATCATCTATCAACTTCGTAGCGATTCCTCCCGTAAGTAATTTATTGCCATCTTCATCTATCAGATTGAGATTAATTTTGTGTTTTGTGGACCAGTTTTCGGAGACAGCTTCTAATGGTCTGCAACGTCCACCTGATAGTATGAATTTATCGACCTTCACTTTTCCCTGTGAAAATAAAATTAATCTCAACATTTCGATGAAAATTTAATTCGATCGATGATTGAAATTTGAGCTATCACCTTGTCCACTGGACATCCGTCTTCCATTCCTATAGCTTCTCGTACGAGCTCGCCCCAGGTTTCACCTTCACCTCTTGCAGTCATATCACATAGATCAACCGTGCCTTCCGAACGTTTTTCCCACCACTCTTTGAATCCGTTTGTGACATATTGGTCCCTTCGATAAGTCAACTAAGGTGCAAAACACAAATGAAAAGGAGAGGATTGAAATAATGTAGACAAGCCCGCCCATGAAGTAAGCGGATTCGATGAACCAAATCAATAGCGAAGTGATACAACGGTTCAAGTCGACTTCGACTACTATCTAGTTTTTAACGAATATCTCGGAATCTAAGGGAGATAGCAAAATTTTTGTCACGACCTTTTTTGCAGCCCTCAATTTGCTGTACAAAAAAAGTCTGTTTGAAACATAGTCATCATTCTATCAGTTCAGCGGGGAATTAAATCGGTAATCTTCGAAATCAATCGAGCCCTTCGGGTCAACAGTCAAGAGTCAGCGAATCACCCGGAAAGGTAGTAGTACGACATAGTCAGTCAGTTAGAGCAATCGCTCGGCAGTTCAACAGCCATGTAATAGATTATCAACTCAGTTATTAGTTCAGTTCATCCACTCAGTAGAACTGTTATAGAATATCAAAATTAGAGTCAAATCAACGTAGATTTAGTGAATTAACAAGTATTATAGTTTCTCAACGAATTATGTACATCAGCAGTGAATTATCGAAACATTAGAGTAGGATCAACGGAAGGCGCGTGTCGACGCGTCTCTCAACGTGTACAGTTCCTCATCATTTGGGTTAGATTTAATCGTTACAGCAATTATCGATAGACATTTATCAAAGACATTTAATAGTGACTCAACAGTGAATTATCAATTTAGACAATATATTCATTTGAGAATCTGCCGTTCAACCGGGGTTGTATTTGTTCCAATGGGAGTACTCACCTGGACGTCTACCCACAGACAGAACATTATTACGAACGTATTAAAAAAGTGCATCGTGTTTAGTTGAGAATTTTTTTTTTCGACTGATAGCGCCTACTGGACAGCGATCCGAATATGCCCCCAAGAAGGCACATGCAATTCTTCCATAATGCCATAATTTTGTAGCTTCATTTCCGTGTGTGTTTCGTATTGTTATGTAAACTTCAACGTTTCGTTATCATTCATATAGTCTTAATGGCCCTTGGGCTTCCTGTAAACTTCCTACCCGTGCTTTTCGTTATTATTTAACTACTGATATTTCATTGAAAGAAGAATTTACTTCTTTACTAATGGTTGGAGAAAGTTAAAATTAGACTTAAAATTAAGTTTAGGTGGCCCGAATCTGAATCTGATCATTTTCTCTTTAATTGACCCCGTTCAAATGACGATCAGAACAGACTGCATTGAATTTCTCTGATATCTCTCTATGTAATAATTTTGTAAATTAGGACAACGCAAAAATTTTCACGGTTCATAAGGGTAATAAAGGTCACGAGGGTCGAAAATGATCGTAAGGATCATAAGGACCGAAATAAGTGTCATGAGGGTCACAGGGATCATGAGGGTCGTGACGGTCATATGGGGGTGAAATGATTCCGAACAATTGGACAAGGTGCGTTGTGTTTTGTTAAGAACTCTTCGCTTCATAGTCCATACGCTAGGGGTACTTCTGTGTACATTGAGATGTCCATTAGATTTTATTACTGGATTCTATGTATTCGAGGTCGCTGATTGCGAATATGATGATCGTTTGTGCGAAATCGTGGGCAGTCTCTTTGTTTATAACAATTTAATTGTTTAAAACGGAATATCGTGGAAACGGTTGGCTATAGGGGAAAATGTTTCAAACAAAAAATGTTTCTTATCAAAAAGTGGACATATTTTGTTTTACAACATTTTCTCATAGCTGTCATGCTTGCAGAGATATCGCGGATGCAAGTCCAGCGAACGGCGCGCTGGCACTATTGCGCGGCGGCAACGCGATCCGGAGTCTTGTAATTGGCCTCGACTGTTTTGACTTGAATAAAAAAACAAATAAATGAATAAATAAAGAAATAAACATTCTTGGATAATGTTTATAAAAAAAATTATGTCTTTTTTTAAAATAAATTCTTTCTATTCTATTTTTATAGGTCTTGTAATTGGCTTCGGAAGTTTTGATTTGAATAAGCAAATAAATAAATAAATGAGTAAGTGAATAAATAAATAAATCAATAAACATTCTTGGATAGCGATTAGTATAAAATAATTATTATATTTTTTTTTTCAATCAACTTTTGGGATGATTTGTGTAGCAGAAAAATCTTGGAACGATCTCATCATCAGTCTAAAAATGACGATAACCTCTAGGCTTTAATCATTCAATCCCCCCTCCAGGCCATGAAAATGGCGGTGTAGGAAATGGAATGAGTGAGTGTTGCGTTGAGTACGCGTGACGGTGTCAGTCGTGTTCGTTTTTGGAGCAGCTGAGACCGGGGGAGTTCTACTCACACGTTCTTAATCCATTATAACAATTCCCAGGAGACCTTGTGACTCAAATTGATTATTTAGGATTGTTAAATTAATTTTTAAGCTTGAAAATGGCGCAGTGCAGAAGATTTGTGGTGACAACGGGGGGCTTGCTCCGAGCACGGGGACATGGAGCTGCAACAATTGTCACGAGTCGTTCTAGGTACTCTATTAATTAACAATTAACCTCATTATTCAATTGGTCGAGAGCTGAAATCTCGGAGAATTTGTTGTTTGAATTTGTGGTTTTCATTTTTTTTTTATTTGTTGAACTCATTTTTTTGTTATCGTTGTTTATAATTAACAATTACTTTTTGTTATTCAGTTATTTTTAGTTATTCTCGAGTTTTAAACGATGAAAACCTGAAAATTTAATTTCGGTATTTTTTGTGTAATTTGTATTGTTAAAATCGTTTTGGAGTTTTTGGGTTGTATTTTTGATTGTTAATTACTACTCACCCCTCGTCAATTAATTATTTTGAATTATTTGAGAACGAAAATTTCGATAAATTCATCGAATTTGTGATTCTTTAATTTTTAATTTTTTTTGTGGGACTCAATTTGTGTTTTTGTCGTTCATTTCTACACATGACATTGTAAATATTTGTAAAATTCTTTGTAAATACTTAGTTAATTAAAAATTACTTTCTGTTATTCAGTTATTTAAAAGATGAAACCCTGAAAATTTAATTGATTTCGGGGTTTTTCTCGTCTAATTTTTATTGTTGAACTCGTTTAGGAGTTTGTGGGTTGTATTTTTGATAATTATTTAGAATTATTTAAGAACGAAAATTTAATAAATTCATTGAATTTGTGGTTTTTTATCTTTTCAAAATTAGTTTGTGCACTTAACTTTTTGTTTTTATCCCTTATTTTGGCCCATGGAGTTCTAAATATTTTTTAAAATTAACAATCACCCCTCAATCTTCAATTATTTTGAATATTCAGGCGTAATTACTAATAAAACCCTGAAAATTCGATTGAATTATTGTCTTATTCTGTTTAGAAATTCAGTTTTAAACTCAATTCCAAGTTTTTGTGATATACTCCCCATGATTGCTATGATTTTCAATTATTTATACCAAAAATTTTTACAAACTCACTTTATTTCAATTTTTCTCCCCATTTACTCGTTTCAGAACCGTAATCTCAAGGAATTCGTTAAATTTTCAGTTAAATTTTTTATTGAACTTAATTACTTATTCACGAGGGGTTCTCTTCTCCCACAAGCAGTTCTAGATCCTTCCTTCATTATCAATTATCCCTTGTTGTTCAATTACCTCTACTTACAGTCAAATTTTCAAAAAGTGAAACTCTAAAAATTCAATTCGATTATGTTCACCTAGATTTCTTCAATTTTTTATGACGTATTTTTCCAATTAAGTGATAATTTACTAAATATCAACAATCGTCTCATATTTCAATTATTAATGATGATGATCATCATCAAAAAATTTTAAGAGAATTAGAATTTAGAGAGAAATTAAATTTCAATTAATAATTGTTTCAATTATTATCATTATTATTATTATTATTATTATTATTTAGTCATCATCGTAAAGATTTAATCTTTCTGATGTTTAAAAAAAAAATAGTTGACGTTCTCATTTTTTTTCGTAAAAAAAAATTCTCAATTTTTTGTGTTTAATTTCCCTTCATTTGTGACTGTAATTGTTAAATTAACAGCTCATGGTGGTCGCACGTCGAGATGGGCCCCCCAGACGCAATCCTGGGTGTGACAGAGGCCTTCAAACGTGATAACAATCCCAAGAAAATTAACCTGGGGGTCGGGGCATACAGAGACGACAATGGGAAACCCTTTGTGCTCCCCAGTGTGATCAAGGTCAAAACAGTTGTGTAATTAATTAAATTCAGCACTTTCAGGATTTTTTTTTTTAAAGATTTTGTTGATTTTTTCAGGCTGAGGAGAAGCTGAGGGCTAAGGGGCTCGATAAGGAGTACTCCCCGATCTCCGGAAATCCTGATTTCTGTGCAAATAGTATTAATCTAGCCCTTGGAGATGGGAGTGACGTTGTAGCTAACAAATGGGTATTTTTTTCGATTATTCCTCTTTCACCCCGTCGGTAATTTCAAAATATCTCCTTGAGGAGGGACTTTACGAGAAAATGTTATAAGACATTTTTTCTAGAGAATTGAATTTCCCACAAAAAATGTCTGATGACAAATTTCGATATAAGTCTTCCCTCTCGAGATATTCGTCGGATCAAGTTGATACGATTTAAAAAATTTGAGAATAAGCGTTTTTTAATTGTCTCAAACGATTTGAATGCTCTTAAAAACAATGTGTGGGTTTTTTCTAATGATATTTTTAGAATGCCACAGTGCAGGGAATATCAGGCACAGGATCCCTCTGCATCGGTGCATTTTTCCTGAACAAATTTTTCCCTGGAAACAAGGAAATTTACCTGCCATCTCCATCCTGGGGCAATCACACACCTCTGTTCAAATTAGCTGGACTCAGTGTTAAATCCTATCGTTACTATGACCCCAGCACTTGTGGCCTTGACTTCAAGGGGGTGATGGAGGACATTTCTGTGAGTACTTGGACGTAATCTGTAGTTTGTGACGTTAGAGATAAGAAATTTTTCTCTCTACACTGATAGAAAAACAAACACGTTGTCAAACAAGTCCTGTTTGGGCCAACAAAATCGCTAGTTGAAAGTCTCAAACACGAATAATTCTTCTGCTTTCGACAGCAACGAAATATTTGGCACAAGAGGCGGATAATTCACGCCAGACGGTGCTCTTTCAGGATGAAAATATCTCATACCGAGGAAAATTTATCCTTAAGTTACAAGATTACTATCATATCATCATTACTGTTTCATTTGGGTTCATTTCTTGTCTGTGATTATTAGACATCCGAAACGAAAAACTACTATCCCTTGTTTCGCATAAAACAAAGATTTTTCGGGAGCAAAATACGTATGGGAGTATCGAATAACGAAGGAGTCGTGCTAGAAATAACATTTCTTGCGTGTACAGAGAATGCAATTTTTTTTGAACTACTAAATCTGCTTTTGCGACAAAAATTTTTCATTCCGGCGAACTCTCTGCATGTTTGGCACAAAAAAAAAATGCTTTTTTGATAATTTTCAAAAAACTATTTTCTTGGCACAAGTTAAACTTGTTTGACAAATTTGTCGTTTTTCTCTCAGTGTATTTTTGTTTTCTACATTATCTGGGTGAGTTTAATTGCAGAAAATCCCGGAGAGATCTATTATTCTTCTTCACGCTTGTGCCCACAATCCCACGGGTGTCGATCCAAAGCCAGAACAATGGGCTGAACTGTCGGCACTAATCAAGAAGAAGAATCTCTTTCCTTTCTTTGATATGGCGTATCAAGGATTTGCCTCTGGTGAGTTGACTCTTCTAGGGAATTATTGGATCAATGGCGCATACTGAAGCTAGTGGTTCATTGTACTTTTTATTCTTTCATTTATTTTTGGAAATAATAACAGTAACAATAAACAATCTAAGGAACATACAATTTAATGTCACGTTTCTACCATAACTTTTTACAGCTAGGATTATATTATTTTACCCTAAATGATTGCTTCATGACACAAGAGTTAAGTTGTTCCATAAAGCATCCACTACTATCTTTCGAACGTTATCTCGATGTTTTTTTTCATCTTTCGTCATCTGAAATTGTTAATTAAGTCCTGCATCATCAGAAATTTTGAAAAACTATGAATGAATAGTCAAAAAAAAGTACAAAAAATTCTTAATTTTTTTAAAGATCATTTTTAATTTATATTCAGAATAAGTTGAATAATAAGAAATTGAAAAATGTATCTGATTTACGGTGACAAAGACTGATTTCGTAAATCTTTTCCCACATTGCACAGCGACATTTATTACGGAAAAGGCTCTTTGAAAAAAGTTGTAATATTTTGGAGAATTTTTTAATCACACTTTCATCACATAAAAATGGCAGATGACTACATACCACTGTTTTGAAAATTGAGATACCTAGCTGTTACTTCCCATGAGGAGTTAGAGTTTTGTTATCCACCATGGAAAATGACAGCTGATAGATAATTTGCCACAGCGAATCAGATATTTCTAATTTCCACTTTTTTCAACTCATTCTGAATCTCAATTAAAAACGCTCTTTGAAAAAGTTCAGAATTTTTTCTATTTTTTTTATCATTCTATTATAATTTTTGGGAATTTTTACATGATGTACCACTCAATTGACAATTTTGGATTACGAAAGATTAAAAAAATCCAGATATCATTCGAAAGACAGTACACCCGGGCCTTAAAAAGGGATATAAAACAAAGATTTGTGTAATCTAGGATCTTAAGCGAAGATTATCCTTGTTCCTAGGCCTAAGGTTATCCCTAACGAAATAGATTAGAGGAAAGAATGCAATTTTTATGAGCAATTGAGAATTAATTCAGAACTGGAGTTCGATTTTTCAAGCTCTTTGATTGAGAAAAAGTCAAGACATTTTTCTCCATCTCAAATAGTTTCCAAGATAAATCCCCAATTATCAAAACCTCTTTCCAATCTTGTAATTAATAGACATTCTCTTACTCTCCTAAAATTAATTATGCTAAACCTAAACGACAAATTAAATCTCAGTGTCAGGACAATCCTCACAGCGTCAAATGACAGATTGTCATCAATTGGAGATCATTTCAGAATATCAAAATAAAAAAAAAACAATCAAGCTACGAATTTTGCATCAATACTTTCACTTTCTGCTTTAAGGGTGCCAAGTGAATTTGGCGATGACCTTGAAAATTGACATTCACCAAGAAAGTTATAATTCAGTAGCGAAGCGGTAAACCGGGTTAAGTCGTTTTTTACTATTGGCTAGTTTTTGACGAATATCTCGGAATCTAAAAGAGATAGAAAGATTTTTGTCATTACCTTTTTTGTAGAGCCAATAGAGCGCTATAAAAAAAGTCATGAGAAAAATTTTGCTATCTCTCTTAGATTTCGAGATATTCAGCTAAAACTGGCTAATAGTCAAAATCGACTTAACTCGGTTTACCGCTTCACTACTGAATTTTTCTAATTAATAGTATTAGACAGATGGTGAACATCGGTGACAATTTTAAAATTTTAGAACTTATGGATATCGAGAAATTAAATAAACAAAATCAGTCTTTTACACGGCCTCTTATGGAGTTTTGATTAAATTGAACGTTTCAACCCCCTAGGAACTCAAGAAAAATTTGAAAAAATTTGAAGATATGGGGAATGATGTGTTCAATGTGATGGTGATAAAAAACAATGGGGTACCGGGGTGAATAAGAGAGATATTTCATGCTTTCTCGAGGTTCGTCACGCGAAATAGAGGATTTTCCGCATTTATTTTCTCGATGTCTAGTTCCGGTTGCGGGTTTGAAATTTCGTCGGATGGATGAATACATATTTCTCCAATGATGGAGGGAAAGAAAAAATTTGTTTTGAAACTTTTTTCAAATTCACTTGGCACCCTTAAAATTGAAAATGAAATTGCAAAAATACTAGATGCTTAATTGGTATTGAATAGTGACCGCAATTATCTCACAAATTATAAATAATTACAGGCGACGTAGCTAGGGATGCGGCAGCAGTGCGTCTCTTCGTGAAGGAAGGCCACAACATTCTGCTGGCCCAGTCCTTCGCCAAGAACATGGGTCTCTACGGTGAGCGAGTGGGTGCCTTCAGCTTGATCGGCTCCAGTGGCGACGAGGCAGCGCGCGCCATGTCCCAGATAAAGATCCTCATCAGGCCGATGTACTCGAATCCCCCCATAAGTGGCGCCCGAATAGTCAACGAGATCCTGAGTGACCAGCAGTTGAAGCAGCAGTGGCTGGGGGACGTCAAGGGCATGGCCGACAGAATCATCGGGGTGAGGACCAAGTTGCGGGAGAATCTGAAGAAAAACGGCAGCACCAGGGACTGGTCCCACATCACTGATCAGATCGGAATGTTCTGTTTCACTGGACTAAAGGCACCTGAGGTTAGTCATCAATTTATTTAGTTTCATTGAAGGAAAACACTCACTTGGGACATTTGACAGAGTGACTGAAAATTTCATTCACTAAAAATCATGAAGATTAATTTTCCCAATTATTTTTTCATTCAATCTTCAGGTGGAGAAATTGACATCTCAATTCAGCGTCTACTTGACGAAAGATGGAAGAATATCGATGGCTGGTGTGACATCGAAGAATGTTGAGTATCTGGCCCACGCAATTCATGAAGTAACGAAATAAATATGAATGCCCCATGGACTCATCCAACTACTCATGTATAGAACGGGCATTAGTCCCAGAAGCAAGCAACCAATCAACAACCAGTAATGAAAACCAAGTACCTAGAGAAGATGATGCAGAGGATCTACCTTTGTAATAACTACACGTCGATATCACAAGCATTTACTCACACTGTATTTTTGAAATGCACTGCAGGCAGTGCCCAGTGTTGACCCTATCGACACGTACGAGATGAAACTGTCTAAATTTTTTTACCAGAAATTGTCGAATGTGAAGATAGCAAAAATACGTATTATGAATCAGTTTATTGCAGATATTGAAGTGATTGTTGCGAGTAATCATGTTATTTTGAGGAGATGCTCAAATGTATTCCATGGATACTGTTTCCAAGTTCATAAAGTTTATGAGAAGACAGAGAATAAATGTACAATCGTGATGAAGAATTATTATTCATTTCTCAGTCCTTTCGCATTAACGCCAAATACATATCATTGATAAATTGAAACAACAGTCAATACTCAATTGCATGAGAGCATGCAGAATTTTTATGTATTCTATCTCCAGATAATTCATAAATCCGCGAATTCTATGTCATAAAATCAGAGGAGGATCAGTAGATAATCAGAGAATTAAATCAATAGTTGGAATACTTTCCATATTCTCTATTCATTATTTTTACTCATTCAATTTCAGTTCCATTGCAATTAAAATTCCTAGATCCTTGCCCAATAAAACACGACGAAATAATTATCAGATGTACGAAGGATTACTTTGTTCTGCCATAGACGGATACAGTTACAATCGCCTGGTCGCCCTTCTTGATGGAAATATCAGAGAAGAGTTGGCCCGAGCCGGGGTCTTCGGCCAGTTCAATCGGTCCAGTTTGGTAAGTAGCGACCCTTTTACCTTTTTGCTGTAAAAAAACAGTATCAGCTATGGAAATATTCAATTAAAATTTCAAATCAATTGAAAATTTCAAATACATTCAAAAAGCTAATTTCCATTATCATCAATAATACTAGACTACTGATTGAGTATAATGTCAATCAAAATATTTCTATTAACATTGACTTTCGTTTAGAATAAACTTCGGATTTTAATCTTCAAAATTGTAGTTATGTTCATACTTTCCTTTAAGGGGAGACCGCGGTGAAATTTGAAAGTCGCGGCTCGGCCTTCAGAGCTATTGGATGACTTTTGATATATGAAGGGATATATAAAAAAGCGAGAAAAATTTCGAACCCGAACCGTTTTGCCCCATATATCCACCAAAAACGTCATTTTTCACGTTTTTAGATTAAAAATGCTCCTTGGACCACAGTTTTCATCCGATTTCAATTTTTTGTTGTTGAAATGTTCGCTATACTCCAACGAATAAACTCAAGTATCCGTTTTGCTTTATATTTATTAGATCATGAGAAAATGTTTTTCTTTAGTTTTCATTTTTTTCCTCTTATTAGCAAAAGCTAAAATTCGTTGTTTTCCGCCCATTTTTTAAAATAATATTTCGATTACGTATGATTACAACGTGGAATAACGAAAAACAACTAATTTTAGCATTTGCTAAAGAGAGGAAAAAAAATAGAAACGAAAAAACTTCATTTTCTCATGATCTGATAAATATAAAGCAAAACGGATACTAGGGTTTGTTCGTTGGAGTATAGCGAACATTAAAAAAAAAAAAAAGTTGAAATCGGATGAAAACTGTCGTGCAAGGGGCATTTCTAAGCTAAAAACGTGAAAAACGACGTTTTTAGTGGATATACGGGGCAAAACGGTTTGGGTCCGAAATTTTTCTCACTTTTTTATATATTCCTTCATATATCGAAAGTCATCCAATGGCTCTTAAGGTCGAGCCGAGACTTTCAAATTTCCCCGCGGTCTCCCTTTAAATGGCGGTGATGTTGAGGGGAATTGAAACATTACCTTTGATATGGGACATTCTAGATCCACATCCAGAAATTGTCCTAGGAGGGATCCCATCAGCTCATCCATGGAGTCGGGCTCACTGCAGAGGGGGCCACTGCCTTCAGCCACCACATTATCGGATTCATCCTTGATTGAATACTCAATCTATTCAATCATAAGTGTAGAATGATGATAGAATGAAAGAAACATCACGAAAATGCCACAAAATATAAAAAATATTTCATGGAAAAAATCAGTAGATTTTAATTTGTCTAAACAATTGATTGAAATTTTTGTCTTCAGAAATTCGACGACATAAATTTTCCATTTTTACTATAAAACTAGGGGGTTCCCTGCTCGCTCCGCTTGCCAACCCCCATATGAACCCCGTGATACTTATTCTGACACTTGCGACCCTTAATGTGACCCTCGTGGCCCTCATTAAACCCCCGTGACCCTTATTTTGACCCTCGTGACCCTTAATTTCTGACCTCCAGGACCTTTATTTAGACCCTTAATCTGACTTTTGTGATCCTTCATCTGATCTTTCTGACACTTATTTGGACCCTTAATCTGACCCTCATTATAACCTTCGCGGCCCTTATTTTGACTCTGGCGACCCTTGGTTTTTGACCCCCATGACCCTTATTTGCACATTTACTCTGACCCTTGTGACCCTTATTTATACCTTTAATCTAATCCTTGTTACCCTTATTTGGACCCTTAATCTGACCCTTATAACCTCTAATCTGATCCATATGACCCATGTGATTCTTATCCTGAGCCTTAATCTGACCCTCGTGACCCTTATTCTGCCCTTGTGGCTCTTATTTTGACGCTCAAGACCCTTATTCTGTCCCTCATGACCCTTATTTTGATCCATGTGCCCTGATTTTGTCCCTCGTGACCCTCATTCTGACCCTCATGACCCTTATTTTGACCCTCATGCCCTTTATTTGGCTCTCACGACCGTTATATTGACCCTCGAGACCCTTATTCTGACCCTCACGCCCCTTATTTTGACCCTTGTGACCTTTTTTTGGAGTCTTAATTTCGTGTACCAAATTTTCATCACCAGAAGTCGATTTGGATTTTTATAATATAGAGAGATAGTTCCTATTCGACATTTTCGATTAAAAAACAGACGCGCAGAAAACCTTCAATTCTTCACTACAATCGGCACAAAAACTAATAGAATTTTCCATCGAGTATACTGAGTTTTTCTATGAAATTATTTCGTGCGTGTACAGTAGATAAATTACCGTTAAACCATCATCATCGGTGATTTCCTCCGGGATCACGACTTCCTCTACCGAACTATCACCGTAGGTATCAACTATCATCCATGGATTCGCTTGCTTCGTCACCTTCTCGAGGTTTGCCGAATAGGCATACTGCTCGCTCTGAAATTGTTCCATAATTTTCAAGATTAAAAACAATAATTCTTTAAAACTAGGGATTGAGTGTCGACGATGGGATTATACGCATGAAAAAATTCAATAGAAAACCTAGCGAATTCGCTAGAAAATTCTATCGGAATTTTATAGGCGTTCTATGGGGTTTCTATAGGATTTCTATTGGAATTCTATTGAAAGATTTTATTTGTTTTTGCGCTGATTCTATTGGGTACTCGATAAGAAAAAGTCAATAGATTTCGAATTTCTGTTTGAATTTTTCCCTTGAGATTTTTTCTAATAAGAATGTTTGGGCATCAATTTTCCACTCGGATTCTGCAAACCAAACAAAATCCAACGGAAAAAACTTGGAAAATTTGTGCCCAATAATTCTAATAAAAAAAATCTAAGAAAAATTCAAACAGAAATTCGAAATCTATCGACTTTTTCTTATCGAGTATCCAATAGACTCAGCGCAAAAAACAAATAGAATTTTTCAATGGAATTCCAGTTGAAATCCTATGGAAACCCCATAGAATTCCTATAGAATTTTCTAGCGAATTCGCTGGGTTTTCTATTGAATTTTTTCATACGTGTACGTACAGCGGCGTAAGCCACGAAATTGATGAACAGAAATACGATCAGCTTCATGATGAGATGAGACTTGCAGCGGGCAGAATACCAGGTACTTCTTGGACGATTGTCTCTTTTGGAAGTGGTTTCGATGAACGTCGCGCTGGCTTCTTTACATTAGCTATTATATGACGAGTCCTCTGATGGCATTGCGTGATTACGAACGGGTAGTCCACCTTGGAAGAAAGAGCGCTTCTTATCGTTTGGAAATACCCAATGTTGAACGAAATTATTGGAGGAATAAAAATTGTCGAGGATATTTGTAACAAAAATGTCAAGCTAAATAAATAACAAGGGCTATTGTTGCATGATTATGTCTTGCAGCTGAGAAAATTCTCCTGAAATGCGCATTTATCAGGGCACCTGCGGTGCGTCATCAATTTCTTTAGTTTCATTGAAGAAAAACATTCACTTGAGAAATTTGACAGAGCGACTGAAAATTTCATTCACTAAAAATTATGAAGATTAATTTCCCCAATTATTGTTCCATTCAATCTTCACGCGGAGAAATTGACATCTCAATTCAGCGACTACTTGACGAAAGATGGAAGAATATCGATGGCTGGAGTGACATCGAAGAATGTTGAGTACACGGAGAAAAAATTTTGGTAAAAATTACCCTTCCAGAAGGATAAACGTGTATTATTGAAATTTTTCGTCTGCTTATATCCGGAAGTTCGACAAGAATAGATGTTAAATAATAAAATTTATCATATGTAAAATAAATTTTACCCTTACCTATGGTAATTTTCGCCGAAGGAACCAAAAATTGTCTACACATTTGTCAAAATGTATATAGACAAAGACAAATAATATCTATGTGAATTATAAAAATTATAGTTATCCTGGTAATTATTACAAAATTCATAGAATAATTTTTACTCACCCAATTCTATTAAATTATACCCATCGTGCGCATCAAAATCTAACCAGATGCGCGCGACACTTTTTACCCTTCCAAACAATAAATTCTGCCAGTAGAATGTCTCGTAGTAAAAACACTTTGAGCTCTGTTATTAGATATTTTCATCCTGAAAAGGCACCGTCTGATGTGAATTATCCGCCTCTGGAGCCAAATATTTCGTTGCTGTCGAAAGCAGAACAATTATCCATGTTTGAGACTTTCAAATTCGAACCAAACAAATTCCTTTTTGACAATTTTCAACTAGCGATTTTGTTGCCCCAAACAAGACTTATTTGGCAACGTGTTTGCTTATCTCTCAATGTACCGTTGTGTGTGGGGCTAGCTAAGATAGAGAGATGATCATGATAATAATCATAGTACAATTCAAATACAAGAATGCAATGGAAATGACAAAAATTCAATTTATATTATTTCCATTTCACTTGCAATGAGACACAAAAAGAATACAGGAAAAATAAATATTTGTGAATTTTAAAGTGAAAAAAATTGAACTATCACGAAGGTGGAGATTACTTACAGCAGCAAGAGCCACGATATTAATGAGACTCAGTACCATCAGTTTCATGATGCGACTTGAATTGCAACGGGAAAGCACCAGTTATGCTTTTGAAATTCACCTTCAAACTGATGCAAATTATTTTCCCTTGGACTACTTATCATCATGTTTTATCGATTGTTACTCTGTATGAGTAATAGAAAACTTCGAGTCGAACTTATCAACTGTTTTTCTTTGTGGGTAATTTTGCTTCCTTACCTTGATAGTATTTTTTATTACTGGGAAAGGACGCGCGCTTATGCTCGGCGACAGGTGTAAGTTCAATTTCCAGAAGAAATTTTTTAAAATACTGGATATTTTCTTCATGTAGTATAAAACGAGACCGAACACGCGCTACAGCGCGCTGTAATTGCAACAATAATAATTGGAAATCTCAAAATTGAATGAATCCTGAATTAAATTTGCCGCCTAAGACGACTGTGAACCAATGAGGAATAAGCGTGACAGACTTGCGAGATATCGATAGTTATCGACTCTAAGTGTAGGTTCTTTTTAGAATAGGAAATATTCTTTTCATCACGCTGTGACGAAAAGTGAACTTTTCGGCACGCTCCGCGTGCCTAACAGTCCAATTTCCGCCACATTGTGATGAAAAATATTGTTCGTAACTCGTGAAAAAATGTTTTTTAGCTCCTGGGATTATATCACTCGCCTTCGGCTCGTGATATAAACCTCCCACTCGCCAAAAAACACTTTTTTGCACTCGTTACGAAATATACTATTGNATCGTTTCCTCATTTCTATCCCGACATTTAGTAAAAATTAATATATGATGATCAAATTTTATTTTACGTTTGAAAAATTTTATCCTGACGCATAATAAATTTTTCATCACGCTGTGACGAAAAGTGAATTTTTCGGCACGCTCCGCGTGCTTAACAGTCCAATTTCCGCCACATTGTGATGAAAAATATTGTTCGTAACTCGTGAAAAAATGTTTT